CACACACACACATACAAATATACAAATACAACACACACACACACACACACACACACACACACATATATGTATATATTGCATTTGTGCTGATAAATAAATTTATACTGCACTTGCAGACGCCATGAAATTGGTCACACCTAGCTGAAGCATTATAACATTATATATTTATATTATAACACAAGTATAATATAAAACTGGTATTACGTTTCCACTTGCTTGTATGCTTTCTAAATATTTCCTTCAAACATTTGTTAATATTCAAACGGCTGCAATTCTTCCACAAATCTCAACTATTTTTCTTTATAGGGTCAGAGGATGTGTCTCCTGATTCTCTAGGTATTCCGATGGGTCTTTCTTTTTGTTCCAATGGGGTCGCAACAGTTGTCTTGATCCTGCTGATCCTACCTTCCACTGTTTTGTGTGATTGCTCAACCCCAACCTTACCCAAGAGTTCTACACTAAAAGATTCAGAACCCCTAAAAGACAATTATGCTTCTGGAACTGTTTTGCGATTAGTTTGCCGCCCAGGTTATGAATATATATCTGGGAGTCGTCCTTCTATGACATGCTCTGCAGATGGAACGTGGACAGCGATTGCTGAATTATGTCAAGGAAAGCGATGTCCAGTTCCCCATTTAGAAAATGGAAGAATAGCAAAGTCAGTTGATCTCCGGCTTGGTGAAACAATAACCTTGGAATGTGATTATGGATTCAGACTGGTAGGTGAAGCTAACCTTCGATGTATTTTAAGAGGAGGCACAGTTCAGTGGCACAGAGACATTCCATTCTGTGAAGAGATTCCTTGTGTTCGTCCGACTATAATTTCCAATGGAAGGTATGATGCGGCCACTGGTGATGCATACGTTGTGGGCACAGTTGTGTTATACCGGTGTGATGCTGGTTACTCCCTTATTGGAAAAGGAACAATTACCTGTGTAGCTACAGCTGATGGTAATAATGGACAGTGGGATTCACCATCACCTGAATGTAAAAAAGTCAGTTGTCCGAGACCTAACATCCGAAATGGGAGATTGGGAACTGTATATAAACCTAACTATACATATGATGATAGAGTAACACTTGAATGCAATCCTGGCTATACTTTGGTAGGGTCCTCTTGGGTTAGATGTGATGCTGATAATACCTGGAAGCCTTCACTTCCACGTTGTGACAAGACTGTAGCAACTACCAAAGGAACTACACCTCTTCCACCATTTCGTCCTGTCCCTCCTTTTGTTCCTCCACCATATGTTCCTCCTCCTCCATCTCCTGTCCCCCCACCAATTCCCCCTACCCTTGCTCCTCCAGTAGATGAGACTACTTTCATTCCAATGTTCCCAACCCAAAAGAGAACAATCCCCACAGTTGATCCAGGATCAGGATCAGGATCTGGCAACATTTTTGGAATTGTTTTTGGAATTATTTGTGCACTTTTAGTTCTGGCTGCTTTGATATTTGCAGCTGTGAGATGGTGGAGGCAGAGGGAAGTAAATGCTCCTCCTACTAGTCAGGTAGCTTCAGAGAAAGAAAACACAATGGGTGATCGAAGACCACAAAAAATTCGAAGTAAAAGTTCAGGAACTGCTCAACTTTTCAATTCTGTAGAATTGAAAACAGGGACTCGGTGAAATTTGGGTCGAAAGCTTTAGTTAATTTCCATAGTTCTACAGTTTTGCCAATGGATGAGGGAGTTAGTGCTTGAAACAGTTCATGTTTGGGTTCCAACAAATGCTTCTTTTGCATATTTGCTGCTTTTATATTTTACTAATCTGTATTTATACCCTTTCGGATATCTCTTAGAGGATCTCTTTCTGTAGGTCTTGAGATGCAGAATCTGAGGGAGCTGCCCAGGTATCTGCTTGAGGGATGATGCCTTATCCTGGTAACAGGGTATAAAGATACTAGAATGGAAGCATCCTGCAAGTTCTCTTAAGTCTGTTTCTGAATTCATGTGACATCAGAACAAGAGTCATGTTTGTTTCTGGGGTTTTTAAATTGTGCTAAAACTCTGACTATTATAAATTGTAATCTGGTTTACATTTTAGCAGTCAGTGTAAACTTTGTAAATTGAACCAAATAAATTAACTGAAACTTTTAGGAGACATATTGTATAATTTATATCACTAAATTCACTGTGATCAGAAACCATTGTGCTTGGGTTAAATGAAGCCCTGCCTGTAATATTCAACATACCGGTATGTGGCAGGCAACAAGTGATGAAATGCAAGAATAAATGAAGAAGTGCTCTTGAGTAAATAATAATTGCTATTGCTAGATTTGGTATCGCTTTCTCCTCTCTTACATTTTGGGGGATAAATACACCTACTTTTTATAATTCAACAGTGAATAAAAGTTCTTGTAATTATTGACAACCTTCTAGTAAATACTACTGACTAGTTGTAGGTAGGCAGTTGTTCCATTGGTTCAAATATCTAAATGTTCTTCATTGTTCAGTCTAGACATACAATTGTTGTAGAACATAGTAGCTATCTAAGAAATGCTGATCAGACTTTTCAGGACCCAATTCACATGAAAAATTGAAAGTTTATATCCTCTTGACATAAATCAAGAGAACTAGATTATGACAGTTAAACTCTATAAAATTCCTCACCAATGAGCAATAAAATAGGAAGGATGATTTCTAAATCTTTGGTTGGGCCATTGGAGTATCTGAATTGTGGATTCCCTCCCCCCTTCCCTTTCATGCATGTTTGGCTAGCGGTTTCAGTTTTCTTTTGAAAAGGAAATGAACGCAATTATTTATCCATCTCCAGTTTGAACTTGCCTGAGAAACAATTCATGTTTTTCTTTGACTTTTTATTTCTCTGTCAAGTTGGACAGACTTAACAGATGAAGTGCAACCTTGCAATTAGACAGCTGGTGTACTGTAAGTGTGCTTTTCATAAGGAATCCTGACTAGTTCTGTTACCTTGGGCCCCCATCTGGTGTGTGCACATGTCACCAACTCTCTTTGCCGGGCATAGGGTGAAAGGTTGCAATTTTGGAAGAGAGATGGCACAGAAATTCTGAAAGAGCTGTTGTTTTCAAGACCGACAGCTTTGTAAAAGGGAAGGACGGAATATATTCATATACATGCACGCTCACACACAAACACACATATACCCCTTCCTGCACTTGTTCACATTCAAAAGCTATCACTGGCTATTATCATTCTCTGCATGAAAAAAATAAATAATACAACCTTGTTTTTGTATGTTTCGTAAATAAACAGCAAAATGGATCCATATGTGTCCCTTCCAGATAAAACTTCTGCTGCTGCTGCTGCAAAAAATGTTGTAACTAAAGTCCAATTTTGGTTTGGCCAAGAGTATACCCAGTTCTACCTAGTGAAACTGCTGCATCATGTACTATTGTGGTTACATGATGACATGTAGAGTTGTTAGTTTAGTAATACCTTATGTTTGAAAACAGGAATAGGTAAATATATGCGGTCATCTAGCATGCCTGTAGTCCCTGTAGCTCCTACAGAAGCTTTTAAATCAGGTTTTTCTGCTCTTCATTTTAAAACTTGCAGAGAAATACTTGCCTTAAGGCTTTGTTCTGACCTTCAGAGAAACAGAAAGCAAGAGAGAGGATATTCAGCCACCGTTAAGTGCCAGTAAATCAGTCCCATAGAAATAGAACCAAAAGGCTATTAATTCTGCAGATCCAATGCCACAAAATAGGAGAGAGATGACT